ACGTGTGCGTGTGTGCGTACATGCTTGTTTTTGTTTTGTGTGTGCGCACATGATTTTTTATTTTTTATTTTTATTATTTTGTTTTATTTATTTATGTATTTAGTTTTGTGTGTGTGTATGTGTGTGTGTGTGTGTGTGTGTGTGTGTGTGTGTGTGTGTGTGTGTGTGTGTGTGTGTGTGTGTGTGTGTGTGTGTGTGTGCGCGCGCGCGCGTGTTCTTACCTAGTTGTTTCAATACGCTAGAAGAGCTAAGCTCAGATGATCCCGTTTTCTATATTGAAATTATCACATAACTTTTTAAATTGATGCACACTTTTTGGGCACAAGCAGCTTCATTTGGAAGATTGTTCCATGTTCAATAGTTCTATTGGGGAAATTGAACATCTTGACATCTTGACATTGCCTCTTTTTACTTTCAAATTATTGCTGTGTCCCGTCGTCCCTCTTCTGTTCAAAATAATAATAATAATAATAATAATAATAATAATAATAATAATGAAAATAATAATGATTATTATTATCCTTATTATTATTATTACTATTACTATTATTATTTTCATTATTTTTTTTGTTATCTTTATTTTCATATTTATTGTTATTATTATCATTACTATTATCATTATTATTATTATTATTATTATTATTACTATTATTGTTATTATTATTATATTATCACTATAATTGTTACCATTATTATGATCACATTATCATTATCATTATCATTATATATATATATATATATATATATATATATATATATATATATATATATATATAACTTCACCCTGTAATAGAATTTAACATCATTATCATGTCACCTCTTTTTCTTCTTTCTAACAAAGTAGTAAGACCTATTTTCTCAAGTCTTTCTTCGTAGCTCATATCTCTTAGAGTAGTTGCCTATCTTGTGGCTGCTCTTTGAACTCTTTCTAGTTTATCTAAATACTTTTTGTCACCATACTCAAGACAAGGTTTTATGATGGCTGTAATGATCTTCTTTACCATGTCTTCGTCCACATTATTCCAAGGTCTTTCTCTTTATCTTCTTGGTTTAATATTACGTCTCCTAACTTGTATTGGTATAGTTCCCTCTAAATTACGCTTCACATCTGTCTTTCATGAGGAAAGTCTTCCATCCATTCGATGTGTTTGCTTTTCACTCCAGCTAGGTGTTCTAATTTCCATAATAGTCTTCTATGAGACACCTTATCAAATGCCTTCTCAGAGTCTAAGTATAAACAATCCACCCAGCCGTCTCTTGTAATATTTTGGAAACTCTATCATAGAAACAGGAGATTTGCTAAGCATGACCTTCCTTCTCTAAAACCAAATTGTTTATTTGATATCATATCGTGTTTTTCAAGGACTTCAACTCATTGTTTGCTAGTTATCTTTTCTAACAGCTTGCATACTACACTAGTTAACGAAACTGGTCTATGATTTAGAGGGTTTTGTTTGTCGCCGTTTTTGTATAAAGGTGTAACATTGGCAAGTTTCCAATCTTTTGTATGTTGTCCTTGTCTCACTGAATTTTGGAATGTTAACGATAACGCTGCACATAATTCCTTTAGAACCCAATTAGATATATTATCTGGTCCCTCTGCTTTGGTCTTGTCTATCCCTTGCAGTAGGTCTTTTATTTCATTCTTTTCGAGTGTGACATTTTCGATATTCTTATGCACGTTTGTACGGTTACTTGCCATTTCAAAGTATCGGTCCTGAACAAACATTGACTGAAATTTCTCATTAACGATTTCACACTTTTCCTCTTCCTTAGTATAAACGATGTTATTGTCTTTGACGGCGCTTATTTTGTACATTTATTGATTATATCCTTTTCAAAGTCTAATTTCACCTCCCTCATGGCTTGGGTATATTCGTTCCTTCCTACTTTTTACCTTTCATAAGCGGCCTGAGATCTACGTCTTCTGAACCATCTCTAAAGGAACTGTTTGGTTTCTCTCATTTTCTTGCATTTACTATTGAACCACGCTTGACAATTTCAGGCTTTAGTTTTGAATCTTGATACAATTTTCCCTACTCCTTGTTTATAGACTTCGCAAAATTTAGAATATTGCATATCAGGGTTCTCTTCGTTCAGGAGGATTTCCCAATTTATACCATCAAAGAAATCTTTAAGGCTTCTACAATTACCTTTCTTGTAACTGTACTTTCCTTTTCTTTCCTTACTTACGATATTTTTTTCCTGTAACAGATAGTATTTCAACTTATCTACCTCATGATCACTTGTTCCTAGAGGAAGCCAGTAATCAATATCCTTAATGTCATCTACATGCTTTGTAAATATTAGGTCAAGCATAGTCGGTCTATCTAGCCCTTTTTTCTTGGTATGATCTGTTATCTTCTTGAAGAGACAAAATTAATTTATGACTCCTAGTAATTTTGCATTCCACGAATTTGGCTGAGCTCTGGGATCGAAACTGACAATTTTGCTATTAAAATCCCCTGTTGCATGAATTTCCTTTGCATTAATTTCCGAA